AAATTGCAATTGAAAATAAAATGAAAAATTCTTCTTTAGGAATGACAGCTAAGCCATCCTTTACATTCTTTCTGATTTTTTTTCCTTCAAAAAATGAGTGAAAAGGAAAACCTAAAAATAAATTTTCAATAAAAGAACTACAGACTTGAAAAAAACAAAAGTTAACCATAGTTTTAAATTCCTTAGAGAAGAGTTAAGAAACAAATTTGTAACAGACATGGAAAGAATCTCATAGCATAAAACTCCAAATTCTCACAACCATACTAAAAAATTCACTCAAGTGGCAAAACCAAGAAATAAAAGAGAGAGACAAGCTGAAGTACATAGCCAAATTTACAACAATAAACAGCTGAAGTAGTAAAATGAGCTGAGGAACAGAGTACACAATTGGCTACTGCTTCTTGAATCATATATCTAGTAATCTTCTCATTCCTCCACACATCTTAATACCGTAGAAAGTTGAAGATCTTGGCACCAAATAATACTTGGCTTGCTAAGATGTCTGGGGGAAAACTGGCAAAAAGACAAAAGCAGGAGAAGCTTGAGAATTAACAGTTAAGGGAAAAAGGAGACAGATGAAACTATTAACAGAAAAAAAAATAAGCTTTGATTTGAAATTTTATACCTAGTGTTTAGGCTTTCAATAAATGGTTAACCAATCCTAAATGAACGCCTCCAACAGCAACGTGGCATTGGGAGTCCGACTCCAACAACAGCAATCTGTCCTCAGATGCATGAAGACTTTGTTTCAAAATGTAGGGATCACTCCTTCGCCTTTGCTTGCTTATCTCTAAATTTTCAAACAAATCATCAATTGGTGTGAATAAGAGCAGAACAAAGGAATTCGTAAGAAAGAAAATAATACGAAAATGGGAAGGGAAAGTGAGATGAAGATTAAATGGGGAGGTGTCCAATTTAAATTCATGCATGGACTAACGGATTCGAGTCATAGTACACATGGTTTCATCAGACCGTATGATTCTCCAGATCTATATAAGGAGGTTTACATGAAGAATTTGCCTCAGACAATGTTATCGATGGCAAAATAGGGAGAATTTGGTTTTGGCAATGCTAACACAGATAAGAATTATTCATATTTTTTCATCCTTTTACACGGATGAAACCAAGCAGACAGCAAGCAAACATTACAATAGGAACAGCAAAAGCAAAAGATAATTCAGAGTAACTTGTGTAATCGTGTTACTTAGCCTAAGACTATCAGGAATTGCCACAAAACACCTGATGATTAATTTTCTGAAAAGAAAAATCTTTCATTAAGGTGCTTTAAAACAGAGGTCATTGTTAAGTAACATAGGTAGAAATAAACGTGGGATTGAATTGTATACCGTTATCATCCGGCATTTAACCAGATAATTTAATTGATATCAGGCATCTGAACGTGCAGGAATCCACTTTCATTGCACCTTATCATAGTACTCCACGAATGGATCCAATAGAGATATGGCATAGGAATGGTCCCACTCCATGTTTTCCCACAATTCTTGTCCTATCTGGATTTTTTGGAGAGAAGGTGGAGGAGATGGTCGGTCATCTTCAAGCAGGGGAAGATATAGAGGGATCCTCTTTAATTTTGGACAATAGTATATCTGAACTCGTTCAACAGAATCACAAACCAATGCTCCATTTGCACCACAAATGCTCTTCAATTTTGGTAGTTCACACAATAACAATTTCCTTAACTTGGGAAGAGCAAGTTTGATACTATTGCTGCTATCAGTTCCTTCTTCCTCCAATTCTGACTCTGATGCTATTATTTCCTTCATTTCCTTACAATATGAAACATATAACTGTACCAAATTTTGGAGATTTTGCAGTACACAGTCAGAAGAGAACAACTTCTTTATTCTTTTACAATCACTTATATTAATCTCTTTAAGACCCGAAAAAGGACCATATGGCACTGGGATAAACCATGAGAAAACTGGTTGTTCTTCACAAAACAAAGCAATGCAGCAATTAATACTCAATTGTTGAATATTGGAGGGAAGCTTAGCACCATTTCTGTAGATCTGACAACGATTTAATTCAATGCATTTTTTATAATTGAAATCACAGGTTAATAATTTACCACCAACACAAATGTAGTATTCACGAGGCCCGTGTGTTTGTCCATGCAAAGCTTGAACATAACTGCTCAGCTCCTTCAAGTCGTAAAACCTCCCTTCGAAAATTTCCAACTTTCTTAGTCGGCCTATCTCATCAGCTCTGGCGAATGTTTGACTTCTTTCAAAACGTTTATGTCCCACAAAGTGCTGAAGGCGTGAGAACTTTGATAATATTCCATCCGGTACCTTTGATATACCCGTGTCACTCAAATTAAGATATTTGAGATTTACCAACCTTTCCATCCCATGAGGGAGATTCTTTATTTTTGTTCCTTCAAGGTTCAACTTCTTCAAAGCTAGAAGTTTCGAGAAAGATGGCATATCCTCTAAAAATACACATTTGAAGAGCAACAATGAAATGAGGGTTTCCAAATCAGAGATGGAATTTGGCAGGCTTTTAATAGGATTCAAAGAAAGATCAAGAATCTTGAGTCCGTGCATTTGCTCAAAGAAACTCTCTGGAATACTCGTTATATAGGACGAAGGCAGCAATAAGGTTGTGAGCATATGACATTTTGGTGGCAGCATTTCTGGTGGAATTTGTATTCCCGAATTCTTCATCAGTGAAACCTTGTCTAGATCTTCAGCCCATTCTAGCAAATCTGGTATCTCTTTCAATTGCATGCCTGCTCTTACCAAGAATCTCGGTTTTAAACTCGTGATGCATAATGCCATGTCCCTCACAAGGTCATGTAGCTTCACAAAAGTTCCACTAGATTTCACAATATTTTCTAGCAAGCAATTGTTAATGAGTTTATTTAAAATGGTATGCCCTCTGTCAGTCTCTTCTTGCATGCTATCCAGTTCTTCCACAATCCCCTCAGCAGTCCAAAGTTCTATCAGCTTATTTGTACAGATTTCAGAATCTTCAGGATATAATGCACAACAGAGGAAGCATTGCTTGAATGTTTCATCTTCTAAACGGTCGTAGCTGAATTGGAGTTGTTGCAATACCTTCTCATCTGACTTGTTTACACTTTTTGCATGTCTATTCAATTCATTGAGTGCATTCCTCCATTCATGAATGTTAAGTACGCCCTTCATACTGCTTGCTACTGTAACAATAGCCAAAGGCAAACCAGCACATTGCTCAACAACAGATTCCACAATGGACAATATATTTGGATGGTCCAAAATATCTTGACCTACTTTTTGCAAGAACAAGCTTCGTGCATCTTGTATTGGAAGAGTAGGCATTCTAACTACTTGACAATTCAAATAGTGACAAATGTGCCTCAACCGGGTTGTTATCACTAACTTACTCCCAGCAGAAGGCTCAGGGATTCCAACTTCTTCAAGAGATAAATTGTCCCATAGATCATCCAAGATTAACACATACTTGCCTTTTCGAGCCAACATTTCATATAGCTCCCCTGATCTTCTTGTTTCATCATCATTAGAAAGAGATACATTCATTGCACTTGCAATGTCATTTTGTAATTTGGCAATGTTCGTCTCTTTTGATACAGTGACCCATATCAAAGGGTTGAACTTGAACCTCTCATTTTCTTTTAAAAGTTGGTTGTTAATATGCTTCATGATGGTTGTTTTACCCACTCCTCCCATTCCCCAAACTCCAATCTTCGAAACATCATCATCCATCAAATATGCCAAAATTTCTTTCTTAAGGTTCTCTGCAACTTCTCCACATAAGTTGCTTGTCGACAAAACCTGTCCAATCCATTGAGGATCGTCAATAACCAAACCATCATAACTCTTTCCTTGTTGAAGAAGTTCTTCAACTTCTTGTATCCTTTTTAAAACTTTTTCTCCAAGGAATCCACGTGAGAGAAGACTGCTTCCTCTAACTTCGTTTTCAAGATCATTAAGTATTTCACCATTGATCCGTTCAACATTTTGAAACCAAATCTCAACTTCTTTCTTGAGTTTCTTTCTTGGTTGCAGCTCTACACTCTTTTTTGATTCATTGTCTTCCTTCACGGCATTTAGGACAACCAATTTTCTCTTCAGGATAACCAAATTCTGATCGTGATTGCAGAGATTGTCCAAGAGTGTGAAAATCGTGTTTGCCAAAAAGTCCATTGCCGCAAGTACCTACATAGCACCCCATATGTACATTAGAATGCTTTGTTTGGTCCATACACTCCTTAAGAGGACTTCTATCAACAGATTTATCAAGTAAAGAAGCACATCCTCGTTTTACAAAAAGTTTGCTATCAGAAGTTTGACCATAAAGATATATTGTTAGTCCTATAAGGGAAATTTTTTCCCTTAGGAAATTAACAAGAAAAAAAAGAGGAAGAAATAATGCCAAAATAGACTACAAAAGCCATAAGCTAAAACACTATGTCTCAAAGTTCAGAAAAACAAATTGACTTGCAGTGAGATCTCTTCAAAACAGATATGATGAGCAACTTCTACCTTTCTATGGTCTTTTCAAGTTTCAAATTTGTTATTTTGGAATTAGATAGCTCTATACAAAGTTCTAACTTTTCATGTTTTACACATTTCTATTTGTCCCTTCACTGAATTAGAGTAAAATGGAGAAACTGCCTAATCATTTGGATGTCAACAGAAAAAAAATCTGTAGTTAACTCCATTTGTCACACTGAATTAAACTATTTGCTCAAAGATGGGCAGATATAACGCTCATCATAGGGCTGGTTTTCAAGGATTTCTTATTTGTAATCCAAACTTTTTAAGATTAACATTCAGATTTCATGACAATGGCTAAGTATTTTGGTCTAATTCTATAGCCTTTTATCTAATGCTGCTTGATCTTAATATCATGCGCCTAATGAGACCATGGAAAGCATGTGAAAAATATTTTTAACAAGTGAAAACAGAAACAATCATAAAGAATTTTGTCAAAAGCTAGGTAGTTTTACAAAAAGGGCCCGTCCAAAAAGTGGCAGAGAAATATGTCATTAGAAGTATAAGGATCATGTGCCAAATGAGACCATAGAAGCATGCCAATGAGTGAAAATGCAGATAATGGAAAAGCTTTATTTAGTACGGTTAATAAGTCAACATTATAGGGACAGAAACAAAACAAATAACACAACAAAATAGGAAAATTATATAAGAATAGATGCTTGAAAGAAAACCAAGCAAACAAATTAAATCCTAGCAATCAATCAGAATCAAAGAACCAAAGAAAGGGAAGAAAAAGTTACCTAACTTGACTGGCTGACACTTCTTGAGAGATTAGAATTGAAAAGAAAGCAGTGAACAAAGGCCCAAAAACCGACGAACCAGCAAGCTTCCTTGCAAATCCTTAAATAGATAAAAGCAGTGAAGAAAAGACTAAAACCCTGGTTGAAGAAGTGTATGGAGCAGAGAAACAGTGAATCAACTACTGGTAGGAGGCTATGCAAATCTGTGTTAGCAACTTGATTGATATTAACTCAAGGAAAAAGACGAGGGTGGGATTTGGGAAGATGAAAAGAAAGTGCTAAGGGTAGTGCAAAGAAAAGCAAGAGAAAAATGAACCAAAATTATAAGTCAATTATTATGGTCTTCGTGCTACTTCCATGGTGGGTGCCACAAGGGCATGATTAAAGCAAATAGCAGACTTTGTTGAATTTTTTGTGCTATTGAACATTTTGTTAGCACGTCCAGGTTAAAAGCTAGTCAGTGCTAGTCAGTGCTAGTCACTGTCTTCACACTGACTTTTTTATTTCCAGTCCTTTCTTTTTTTTCCTCAAATTGCTAAAAGCCTCAAATTGACATTTGAATACCCCTTGGAAGGAGTACAAATGATTGAAGAATTTGTGAAAAAAGAAAAACAAAAAAAAAATGTAAAAGCAATATTTAAAGCAACAATCGTCCTTTGATTAATTCCTAATTAAAAAAAACACCTTATTTGGTTAATATTTTTCTTGCAGATGCTATGGAGGACCCTATAATAAATTATTTTTAGACTTTAATTTAAAGATTAATATGTGAAAAGGTCACTAAACCATATCTAGCACATGGACTTTTTATATATTTGTTTATATTTGTAATCATACTTTTGGCTTTGCCTTTTGAACAAAATTCACTACATATAATATGGATCTTTTTGTTTTACCATCTTGCTTAATTGAGTACTTTTTTTATGAAATGGAAATTTAATTCTAAATTTTTAATGTACATAACAGTGTGATCAAATACAATCATCTTAAAATATTCAGGAAATAAAAAAATATATTAAATCTAAAAGTAAGGAATGGAAGGAGAAGAGACAACAAGAGTTAGGATTATTTGATACTTCTGAAAATCTTGACTAAAATACAAAGAAAACATTTAAAGTTTGGAGCAATGAAAAGATTGATTCAAAGGTTATTGAAGGATAAGTGTAAGCTTGTAGCAACTATGGGTTTTAGATTCTGGGGATGAGGAAGGTGATAGCTATTACTTTTAAGGACGAAATTGTTCAATTCAACTGCTCTAAATCATAAACAATATTGATTTCTGGCTTGGTTGTGGATCGAATTTGATCCTGTACTATGTTTTTTTTATTGTTTAAGGAAGGATGCATGTGTTGGGAATAATCGAAAATCGATTACTGATATCATCATTATATCATCATTTGAGGGTGACTATATTAACCACTAATTAAATTAACTCTGGATTTTTTATGGTTTATATTAATCATTTATGTGATTTTTTACCGTGTCAAAAGTTACTCAATGATCACATTTCCACATGAACACATTCCTGTCAGGAAGCTTTTATGAGAGAAATTGCTGGGTTCAATGGTTTTAGAAAAAAAAATCATAAAAAAAAATATTGTAAGTCAGAAACTGGTTTTATATTTTATCGAAGACAATGATGCCTTTCCCAACTCTTATGCATTATTTATTCAGCTTCAATATGGCATTTTAACAAATTGCTGGCAATTTGCAGGGATTCCTTTGGGAAGACTTGGAGTTCTTTTTTTTTTTTTTTTTTGTTCTTACATTTAATACGCTTCAGGCAATGGTTGGCAAAATGAGCTGAATTTCATGAAATTGCAATTTAAAATAAAATGAAAATTTCTTCTTTAGGAATGACAGCTAAGCCATCATTCACATTCTTTCTGATTTTTTTTCCTTCAAAAAATGAGTGAAAAGGAAAACCTAAAAATAATTTTTCAATAAAAGAACTAAAGACTTGAAAAAAAACAAAAGTTAACCATAGTTTTAAATTCCTTAGAGAAGAGTTAAGAAACAAATTTGTAACAGACATGGAAAGAATCTCATAGCATAAAACTCCAAATTCGCACAACCATACTAAAAAATTCACTCAAGTGGCAAAACCAAGAAATAAAAGAGAGAGACAAGCTGAAGTACATAGCCAAATTTACAACAATAAACAGCTGAAGTAGTAAAATGAGCTGAGGAACAGAGTACACAATTGGCTACTGCTTCTTGAATCATATATCTAGTAATCTTCTTATTCCTCCACACATCTTAATACCGTAGAAAGTTGAAGATCTTGGCACCAAATAATACTTGGCTTGCTAAGATGTCTAGGAAAACTGCAAAAGACAAAAACAGAGAAGCTTGAAATTAACATATAAGAAAGGGAAAAAGGAGACAGATGAACTATTAACAGAAAAAAAATAAGCTTTGATTTGAATTTTATACCTTAGTGTTTAGGCCTTTCAATAAATGGTTAACCAATCCTACATGAACGCCTCCAACAGCAACGTGGCATTGGGAGTCCGACTCCAACAACAGCAATCTGTCCTTCAGATGCATGAAGACTTGTTTCAAAATGTAGGGATCACTCCTTCGCCTTTGCTGCTTATCTCTAACGTTTCAAACAAATCATCATTGGTGTGATAAGAGAGAACAAAGGAATTCGTAAGAAAGAAATATACGAAAATGGGAAGGGAAAAGTGAGATGAAGATTAAATGGGAGGTGTCAAATTTAAATCATGCATGGACTACGGATTCGAGTCATATACACATGGTTTCATCAGACCGTATGATTCTCCAGATCTAAATCAAGGAGGTTTTACATGAAGAATTTGCCTCAGCATGTTCTATTCGATGCAAAATAGGGAGAATTTGGTTTTGCATGATAAACACAGATAGAATTATTCACATTTTTTCATCCTTTTACAGGGATGAAACCAAGCAGACAGCAAGCAAACATTACAATAGGAACATCAAAAGCAAAAGATAATTCAGAGTAACTTGTGTAATCGTGTTACTTAGCCTAAGACTATCAGGAATTGCCACAAAACACCTGATGATTAATTTTCTGAAATGAAAAATCTTTCATTCAGGTGCTTGAAAACAGAGGTCATTGTTAAGTAACATTGGTAGAAATAAACGTGGGATTGAATTGTATACCGTATCATCCGGCATTTAACCAGATAATTTAATTGATATCAGGCATCTGAACGTGCAGGAATCCACTTTCATTGCACCTTATCATAGTACTCCACGAATGGATCCAATAGAGATTTGGCATAGGAATGGTCCCACTCCATGTTTTCCCACAATTCTTGTCCTATCTGGATTTTTTGGAGAGAAGGTGGAGGAGATGGTCGGTCATCTTCAAGCAGGGAAGATATAGAGGGATCCTCTTTAATTTTGGACAATAGTATATCTGAACTCGTCCAACAGAATCACAAACCAATGCTCCATTTGCACCATAAATGCTCTTCAATTTTGGTAGTTCACACAATAACAATTTCCTTAACTTGGGAAGAGCAAGTTTGATACTATTCTGCTATCAGTTCCTTCTTCTCCGATTCTGACTCTGATGCTATTATTTCCTTCATTTCCTTACATATGAAACATATAACTGTACCAAATTTTGGAGATTGCATACACAGTCAGAAGAAACAACTTCTTTATTCTTTCAATCACTTATATTAATCTCTTTAAGACCGGAAAAGACCATATGGCACTGGATAAACCATGAGAAACTGGCTGTTCTTCACAAAACTCGCATGAAGCAATTAATACTCAATTGTTGAATATTGGAGGGAAGCTTAGCACCATTTCTGTATCATCTACAACGATTCAATTCAATGCATTTTTTATAATTGAAATCACAGGTAATAAGTACCACCAACACAAATGTAGTATTCACGAGGCCCTTGTGTTTGTCCATGCAACTTAACATAACTGCTCAGCTCCTTCAAGTCGTAAAACCCCCTTCGAAAATTTCCAACTTTCTTAGTCGGCCTATCTCATCAGCTCTGGCGAATGTTTGACTTCTTTCAAAACGTTTATGTCCCACAAAGTGCTGAAGGCGTGAGAACTTTGATAATATTCCATCCGGTACCTTTGTTATACCCGTGTCACTCAAATTAAGATATTTGAGATTTACCAACCTTTCCATCCCAAGAGGGAGATTCTTTATTTTTGTTCCTTCAAGGTTCAACTTCTTCAAAGCTTGAAGTTTCGAGAAAGATGGCATATCCTCTAAAAATACACATTTGAAGAGCAACAATGAAGTGAGGGTTTCCAAATCAGAGATGGAATTTGGCAGGCTTTTAATAGGATTCAAAGAAAGATCAAGAATCTTGAGTCCGTGCATTTGCTCAAAGAAACTCTCTGGAATACTCGTTATATAGGATGAAGGCAGCAATAAGGTTGTGAGCATATGACATTTTGGTGGCAGCATTTCCGGTGGAATTTGTATTCCCGAATTCTCCATCAGTGAAACCTTGTCTAGATCTTCAGCCCATTCTAGCAAATCTGGTATCTCTTTCAATTGCATGCCTGCTCTTACCAAGAATCTCGGTTTTAAACTCGTGATGCGTAATGCCATGTCCCTCACAAGGTCATGTAGCTTCACAAAAGTTCCACTAGATTTCACAATATTTTCTAGCAAGCAATTGTTAATGAGTTTATTTAAAATGGTATGCCCTCTGTCAGTCTCTTCTTGCATGCTATCCAGTTCTTCCACAAGCCCCTCAGCAATCC